GGGGGGGGGGGGGGGGGGCATTCATGAATTTCGAATGAATCTAACACAGCATGCCCACATCCTTCATTCAGTCTTCCCTTGTTGTAACTAAATAATTTGCATCCTCTTTCTCTTTGTCTCTGTGGTCTTTTTAGCTCAAGTATACCATCCACACATCCATTTATGTCATTGTTGTAAATTCCTCAAGACAATATATATGTGAGAGATGTTTGTTACATTTCTACGAAATTTTCGAACTTTTGTCATTCAAACTCTGTCTAGTAAATGGACAGACAATAGACTAGTTACAAAAATAAGACCACAAATACACATGCATCAAAATTATTTATGTTAAAAAAATTTTACACATTAAAAATATATTACATTTTAATTTTAAATACAGAAATAATGTAATCATAAAGTTTGTAATTTATATCAATTAAGCCCATTCAAGAGTTCGGCCCACTTAAGTTATAGCCCGTGAACCGCCCAATGCGTGTAATCGAGAAGTTCGCTGTCTAGATTCCCAGGGGGTCCACAGACGATTCTAGTGTGTAGGACACGTGTCGATAAACTTGTGGGAGAGAGGTATGGTATCGGTAGGTCCCACTATATAAAGATATTATACCGCTTTGACCATTGTAACCTTTCCGACAGTCCTGAACTCGTGGCCAGTATACGAAGATAGTTGTGAGCAAGTTGGGCATAAGATGGATAAAAAAGGAAATGACCAAAAGCTGTATCAAGAGACTAGCCACTAATATATTGACATGTGTCAGTTTCGCTTGTAGCCTCCAATAAATCTGAGATTATAAAAAATCTGAAAAAATCAATTATAGTGGCTGAGATTTCTCCATCTCCACAGCTTCTTCTGATCAAAAGGGCACGAGAGAGAGAGTCTTTGCTTCCTTCTGCTTACTGTTTTCTTCTTCTCCGAGTAATCAGGAAGCAATTTTTATCAGATAAACATGGGATCTTCAGCTTCTCCAGGCTGAGCTTCTTTCTTCAGCTACTCCATTGAATCTCTCACTAAGGTACTTTGAAGATTGTTTTTTTCTTTTTTCTTCACGCGGTTTCTAGTTTCTTAATCAATTAGTTTTGTCTGATTTTTGTGTAGTAACTGAAGATTTTGTGTAAGAAAAGATTTGAAGCTGTGTGTGTGTTAGCTTGTAAGGATTAGTGATGGAGACTAACTCGTCTGGAGAAGATCTGGTTGTTAAGGTAACTTAATTTTAAATTTTAGTAGGCTAATGTTTTGTTAAGGTGAAAGACCAAAGATAGAAACTTTTGTTGATTTTTTTTTTGGTAATGAAATGAATATAGATGAGGAAGCCATATACGATAACAAAGCAACGTGAACGATGGACTGAGGAAGAACATAACAGATTTCTTGATGCCTTGAGGCTTTATGGTAGAGCTTGGCAGAAGATCGAAGGTTCTCTTTTTATATGTTCTTGTCTTGTAGAGTTTCTTTTTTCTTGCTTTGTTTCTGATTTGCTTTTTGCTTCTTCTTTTGGACAGAACATGTAGCAACGAAAACTGCTGTGCAGATTAGAAGCCATGCTCAGAAATTCTTCTCCAAGGTAACTCTCCTGTCAGACAAGTTTCTGCTTCTTGCGTTTGCCAAAACATAGGTTGCGTACTAAGCTTATAATATTTAGCTAGAGAAACAATGATATATTAGGTAACACAGAGCACTATATTTAGAGAGTGTAATAATTTTATGTCTGCCTATATGTTGTTAATCCACACATGTTGTTGTATAATTGTGTCTTCAGAAGAATGTTTTGTTTCTTTTGATAGTCAGGGGAGAACAACGTTTTCCTTATTTAAAGTCTTATCGTTCCTGAATAGGTTTGACAATTTTGTCTTTTCGTTTAAACTTATTACTAGTTTCATTGAATCCCAATAGATTTTTGGTTTGTTTGGGTTTTGTCTAGAGGGTAACAAGACTATACTCTCATCTCTCAGGTAGAGAAAGAGGCTGAAGCTAAAGGTGTACCTGTGGCTCAAGCGCTAGACATAGCTATCCCTCCTCCACGCCCTAAACGAAAACCAAGCAATCCTTATCCTAGAAAGACCGGAAGTGCAACTCTCCCCATCTCAAAACCGGGTCTGAATGATGCAAAAATTTCGCTTCCTGAGGTGAACTTCATGGTCAACATGACATCTTGTTGTAGTGTTGTGTCTTATTGCTCCTCATGTAATTGATACAGATTGTATGCTTTGTATTTTTTAGATGGCCAATGAAGATCTGCAGGAAGACAACTGCTCAGATTGTCTCACTCACCAACACCTCTCTGCTGCATCTTCCATGAAAACATCAAACGCAAGCACTTTTCGGGAGTTCTTACCTTCACGGAAAGAGGTAAAAAAGAACAATCTTACATTGCTATTTGAGGTTTAAGACTGTTAGTACTTTTCATGAAACTATATTTGAGGGAAGGAACAGGGGAATAACAAGGAGTCAAACTCAGTGGATTACAGTGATTTGAATGCGAAGTCTTTGGAAAATATAGAGGCTTATCCAAGGCATGTCCCTGTGCTAGTTCCATTGGGGAGCTCCATAACAAGTTCTTTATCACATGCTCCTCCAGAGCCAGGCAAGAGTGGCGCCCAAGGATATAGGGATCCCCACACAGTTGCAGGGGATCATCAGTCCTTTCCTGACCATATTATTTCGACCCTTTTACAGACACCAGCTCTATATACAGCTGCATCTTTCGCCTCATCGTTCTGGCCTCCTGATACTGGTGGTGGTGGCCCACAAGGGAACTTAACTCCGAATCTGGCAGCCATGGCTGCAGCCACTGTTGCAGCTGCAAGTGCTTGGTGGGCTGCCAATGGAATGCTACCTACTCTATGTGCTCCTCCTTTTAGTTCAGGTGGTTTGACCTGTCACCCTCCAACTAACTATAGACCTTCCGGTGAAGAAGTAAACGTCACAAAAACAAGCACTTTACAGCATGTTTCTGCTCAGAATCAAGAACACTCTGAGGCATCAAAGGCTCGATCTTCATTGGACTCAGAGGAGACTAAAAATGGGAGTAAACCAGATTGTCATGAGCATCTTTCTGCAGCAACTGAGACTGATGCAAAGGGATCGGATGGAGCAAGAGACAGAAAACAAGTTGACAGGTCTTCGTGTGGCTCAAACACTCCCTCGAGTAATGATGATGTCGAGGCGGATGCTTTGGAGAGGCAAGAGAATGGTTGTAACAATGATGATGAAGTGAAAGAAGTGAATGCAGACACTACTAACAATCCACAACAAACTTCAGAGTCCAATGCACGCCGCAGCAGAATCAGCTCCAACTTAGCTGATCCATGGAAGTCTGTTTCAGATGAGGTATACTTGAACTAAATAAGATTCAAAACTTCCTTTTATTCAAATCCTTTTATTCAACCAAATATTTGTGTTATCAGGGTCGAATTGCTTTTCGAGCTCTCTTTGCAAGAGAAGTTTTGCCACAAAGTTTTCCATATCAGAGAGAAAACAGAGAGGAGGGTCAAAGACAAAGAGATCCAATGGAACTTGATCTTAACTCAACAGCTGAACTAACTCCAGGTGATGATGAACATAATCATCAAGAAGATAATAGAAAGTTAGAGTTCTTGGGAGCTTCAAAGCTAAGTAGAGGAAGAACAGGTTTCAAACCTTACAAAAGATGTCCAATGGAAGCCAAAGAAAGTAGAGGAGTCATCAACAACACCAATCCTATTATCTTTGTTGAACAGAAAGATCCCAAGCGGATACGTTTGGAAACCCAAACTTCAACATGAAAAAGTTGTAACTCTCTCATTATATGTTCTTCTCTGTTTTTTTAAATTCAAACTTCAAGATCACTGATACATTTTCTTCTGTCTTTTGAGGCATTTGTATTTTGTCCTTACACCTTTGTCCATAGTGTTCTTGTAACGTTTGACTCTGTATTATCAAACAAATCATAAACTGTTTAGTTTCTACTTCCTTCAAAAACCCCTATGGCACTTGCATTGAATGATGTAAACTTTAACAGTGAAGTTAAGTTTCAATTCAATCTACTAGCGTTAAGCTGCAACGGTGGTGGTGTAAGAAAAAACACTAAAATGTCATTGTGAACTCTAAATTTTTTATTTTTTTCTGAAAAATTTCTTTCATATATGCGATAAACATAAAAATCTAGTAGTTACAAATTCTATTTAACAGTTTTGATCATTTTCAGATTTTTATATTTTTTGCTCTAGCAGCAATGTTGCTAGACATCAAATAAATTGAATTGAACTAATTTTAACTTAAACGGCGTAGTTTTAAACAAGTAGGATTGTTTGTTCACACGTGTAAACATATTCAAAAAGACGTGGGATAGCTTAATGTATGATCATTAGATGATTCTGTAAACATCTCTTACGAGATAAATTCTATCTTGCACAATATACCACAAGAAGGACGTTACGTTATGTTTATAATAATTTCATGTTCAGAGTTTGATTCATCCTACCTATAAATTAATAACAAGCTTAACGGTAAGTTGAAAACGCTTTGCTTGAGAATAAAGAAACGTTTGTTTTTTTTTTAAATAGTCACGAGATCGTGCTCTTCGAAGAAAAAAACGTGAGTGCGATTGGTTGTCACGATTAAAACAACGTGCGGGGCAAAAGAGCATGAAGGAATCGAAAGGCAGAGAAAGAATATCTCTGGTATCAATGATTTTTGATGGTTGACCAAGTCCTTATGCTATTATTAAACTCTGTGTTTCTCGTGTATATATATGCATAAACGTTGCTCTGTTTATTTCACAAGTTACATTTGTTTTATTGTCCCTCTCATAAACGTAAGAAGATCCAAAGGTAACGTATCTCTCTAATTTGTTTCATTAGATATGTCAATGCTTTTAGAGGTCCTCTCTCTTGTACATATATATAACATATGATCTCTAGCAGATGAGTGAAGAAACATATGAAGAAACCATGGAATCAAATGAGTCTCCTCGTCCTGCTCCAAAACTCAACGAGAGGATTCTCTCAACTCTCTCCAAGAGATCTGTAGCTGCACATCCATGGCATGACCTTGAGATCGGTAACTTTAACAAACCCTTATTAAACATATCTTATAATATTATTCTATATGAATTCTCAACACAATTTTGTGAGTTTTTTTTGGCAGGTCCTGAGGCTCCATTGGTTTTCAATGTGGTATGTCTCTTATACCTAATTAAAAACATGTTATTACATTTCTATGTTAGTATTTTGACAAGAGTCTCTCCGGTTTAGGTGGTTGAGATCACAAAGGGAAGCAAAGTGAAATATGAACTTGACAAGAAGACCGGTCTTATCAAGGTAACTGAAATGCGAAGAAATCTACATATTGCGTAACCTTCTGACCATTGACATTGAGTTTCAATCCCAGGTTGACCGAATCTTGTACTCATCGGTTGTGTATCCTCACAACTACGGATTCATCCCAAGGACATTGTGTGAAGACAATGATCCTCTTGATGTTCTTGTCCTCATGCAGGTACACAACATCAAAATCACTATAGAAATATCCATTTTTCTCACATATATTTTAAAACTTTTTAAGCTTTGTGTACGTAGGAACCAGTGCTCCCAGGATGTTTTCTCCGTGCTAGAGCCATTGGATTAATGCCCATGATTGATCAGGTTTCTCCTCTTCAATGAAAAAATGCACACATTTTATTTAACAAGATTAATTTCCTATTTTAGAAACTTGTCCACTAAATGAGTGAATATTATTACAGGGAGAGATGGATGACAAGATCATTGCCGTTTGTGCTGACGATCCAGAGTACAAACATTTCACTGACATCAAACAACTCGCTCCTCATCGCCTCTCAGAGATCCGCCGTTTCTTCGAAGACTGTAATAAGCTCCTTTCCTTTATTTATAACGTATCAAATTGTTCAACAAAAAAAAAAAACAATACCAAATGTATTTTTTTTAATTGTATCTTATGCTTGTAGACAAGAAGAACGAGCACAAAGAGGTGGCTGTAAACGATTTCTTGCCACCGGCGAAGGCACATGAAGCAATCCAGTACTCCATGTAAGCCTTCCCTTTAATCCTTAAACTCGCAAATATTGATCAAATGTCTTATCAATCGTTCTATTACATATAAACAGGGACCTCTACGCTGAGTACATTCTCCATAGCTTGAGGAGATGAACGTATCAACAACACATTTATATACCCATGCGGCGGAAGAGATGATTCTTCGCAGCCCAATATTGTTTTAATAATTGTTATTTTCTTGTGATGTTACGGTTTTGTTGAATTTTTGTAATTTGAAACTCTCATGCTGAGACAAATGTATTTTTTTTCTTTCTTTCTTTTTTCCTTGTTGCTTACTGAAAAACTCATGTTAACTTGTATACTAGTGGGCTTTATAAGCTCATATGGCCCAAATAAATTGTCTCTTTTAATTTTTAATAACCAGTGTAATGGACATATCTGAGGTTGACCAGAAAAATTGTAATAACCAGTTTAACGATTAACGAACGAGTAGTTTGAAACCAAGTAAAACTATATACGTGAATTGAAAGTAAAGTTGTATAGACTCAGTGACACACGTAAACGTAAAAGATATACCAAAGAGAAGAAAATAAAGTAAAAAAAAAAACATAACGAAAGATCTCTCTCTGTACACTAGTATACAAAACAGGACAGCGAACACAAACAGTTTTTAATTAGTTGGCTCAAATTATCGTATCGTGTGTGGATCCAAATGAGAAAGCGACTAAACGTGAGGTAGCACATATATTGACAGAGAATGGGCTTTTCCATTTATCATCATATCGTATTTATTTTGGGCCTCACTTTTTCTTTAACAGGGACCACTCTATATGTTATAGAGTCCCCTCACTTTTTTTTTTTTTAAATCAGCTAAATGACGAAGTTATTTGTATAATATGGACCGACATGTGTACGTGTGTGCACTCATCAAGATTTAAGGGTATGAACAGTGAATTGAATGAAATGATAAAATGTGAATATAGGAGCTGCAGGGAAGCTGAGACTATCGCAGTTACTGCAGAATCCTTTTTATATCCATGAAGTCAATGCATAAATATACAAAAAGTTTATTAGTAATATTCATTTTTGTAAATAATACATAATAATGTAGAAATATATAACTTCAAAAAAAAAAAAAAAACTTTGTGCAAAGAGAGAAGCATCCAATTTTTAATAAATAGTGTTTTTGGCCTTCAGAGTTGAGACAACCTGAGCGGGTTGATTTCATTTGTATCCATCCTTCTCTACAAACCTACCCCACCTCATATATTTGCATTTATATTTCATTTACATCGTAAGAAAAGTTCTATACGTTTTTCACTATCAGTAAATGAAATGTTTGAGAAGTTAAAGCAAACTATGAACAGACGAAAGAGGATATGAAACTAATTATGTGAACATTGTTGTTAGACTTTATTTGATCCTATGTATTTGGGTTTGACGCATAATACTTACATAAACCAATAAATAATAATAATACTGTTGAAAACAGTAGACTTATTCTTTTTATTTCTTTTTGCACATGAACTTTTCAAGATGCATGCTTAAATGTCTAATTATGTTTAACCCTTTTCTTTTCAAGAAGAAGGTTGGCTATAGAGAGAAAGATAGTCATACTCTGGGGCAAATTGACAACTGGATCGAGCATGTTGTTACCATTATCGCACCACTCCATTCTCTATAGTTTTATCTTTTATGTTAACCAAAATAATTTCTTTCAATTAAGAAATTGGACCGCCTTCCACTTCACCACTACCTCTTCGACGGCGACCGATCTTATATGCATTTTTCATAAGGACTTATATCTTATATGTATTATCATCATATACACTTTTCATAATCAAGATTGGTCGATCTATTTTAACACGAGTGACTACGCAAAATAGCGTGGGTCCAAGATGCATACAACTAATTTGTATTATAATACTCTTTATAAAAACAGGGAAACCCTAATTTTCTAAGGGCTACGCTTTCTTGTCACTCCAAGCGACTGATCAAACTATTTATAGCCATATGTAATGATCGATATTGTAATCATACACATGGAACTAATTGTGTAGACTGGATACTTATGTATGTTGCTATAAAAAGTTGGGTAGCTATAGAAGTTTTTTTTGGTTAATAGTTAACTTTTATTTAAATGAAAAAGAGGATTGTTTGGGATTTGAGATCATCTACAAATAAGGAAGGTATGTGTAAATAGATTGGCCTTGCCATTTGAAATAAGGGGAGTGGACAACTGTTTAAACAAGAAAAAGAGTTCATAATTAAGTGTGCGAGTGATCTGGATTTTTTGGTATACAATTACAAGTGGTCCTAATCTAGTTAATCCCCATCTTTTCCTTCTTTCGTTATCATATGCGTTGATCTATACGTACACCCACTCCCCATCATTATCATAAGCTAATCTGTTTCACTAGCGATCCTAGTTTAATCCCACAAAACACGATTAGCAAACTACTTCGATTGTTTTTGTGTGTCAATTTAAACCAAACTATACATCTTGTTCTGTCAAAAGAATCAGTAATATGTTTTGTAATAGTAGTAAAACTATCAATCTGATCCGTTGTTCACTAGTCTCTAGCTACACTACTCGAGCTATTGATATTTTTGGAGCTATTGATATTTAGTGTAGCATATAACAACGTATATGATCCGTTAAGGCATCAACCATTTATAAAAGCTAGCTGAGTCTCCTTCTACAAGTTTAAAGTTAGAAAATTTAAGTTGATGCACTTCTGATTCAATTCATGTTTATAATTTATAAATAGGTTGATAGGAATTGAAGAGTGGGGTGTCTAGAAATAGAGAGGTCCCCTGGCTAATAGGGCATAGCTTTGCAAGGACGACGCTATGGTTTCCTCGTAAATTCATGTTATTTATTGTATTATTCTCTCTCTCTCTCTAAAAGAAACTATAGACATAGAGAGATGGTAATATATTAAGTTCATTGACAGGAAGGAGAACAAAAAGAATTGTGTTCATTTATATAAGAAGGATTTAATCGTATTGCCTTTTGCTGTGCTTCGTTGTTTTTGCATCTTGAAAAATAATTTGATCAGTCGTATTTCTTTTTGCTGATAACATCCATCAGAATATTCAATCAATTATATATTAATCATGGGGGTGTGATATTTTAAGATGCGCATGAAAGAGACACAACCCGTTGTATATAGAGAATTACAAAGAACTATAAGCCATGCATATACTTATATCCAAAAAGTTATATCATCAAATACAATTAGGTATATCATTATTGTAATTCAGATTAAGATGCGAAAAAAGTCCTATAGTGTTGATTAAGATTCTAATCAATAGCACGATAAAACAGAAGAAAACAATGTATCGACTAGAGGCTTTTGTGTCCAGCCTATCATGTACTAAGGATGAGATTCTGGACCACGTTTATAAATGTCCATTACCTACTGCATGCTTTAGAATTTCAACTTTTAAAATTTTCCTATAATCAATTTCTCTAATCACATTTTAAAATAAGCTAAAACCGTCAATTAAATTATGTGATATACTTATAGTATAAAGTGGTTTAAAGTAGTCTTGGAGTATAATAACGTCTATTAACATGAACTAGACTATTTAATACGTACAATCCATTCTAACAAAGTCTAAACTTTAATCGTATCCAGCTAGCCGATGTTTACTGTTAAATGTTAACCGAAATTGGACAACGGGACATGAAGGGTGCTTAGTCTCTGTCAGGACCACGTATGTAAGAACCTTATAAGATTAACCATACGGAAAACAAATAATGTATCAGGTTATTAAGGAATTGTAAAGAGTCTGATTGACACGTATCATTTCTAGAATAACATATATAATGTTACTATACTCACAGGGTTACATGGATAAAACAAAAACGTCATTACAAGCTATTAGCACGATGCGCTGGAACATACAAATGTGTCGATTATCGATTTATGCGAAAAGTTATATATCTTGAGCCATAAACTCTAAGATTCTTTGGCCAGTCCAAGAACATTATTATACCAAGCCTATGTTTATTAGTTTTTGATTGACTAAAGAGTTTCCTATATTTTGTTGTTTCTCTCTCTCTCTCCTAGATGAACATCATAATTTTTTTTAAAAAGTCTGGTTTTATTTTTCTTAATAGTAATTCTGAGTAATAAATATTAAATCATTTATGTATAGTTTAATTTTGATTGTATTGTTAATCATCCTACAATGTTATAAAGAGAAGCAATTACTATTTCTAATCAAGAAAACAAATAAAATCACTTCTGTGTAAATTAATTTTGAAAGTTGAAGAACAGTAGATGTATATATACAGTGTCTTATTTTTAAAATCAAACTTTCTTTCTCTAAAATAAAATTGTCAACGTGATCAAAGCTTGTTTAGCCGAATTTTAAACTGACCAGGCCTGTTCTTTCGAAGAAAAAGTAATCGGCCAAACCAAACATATATATTAAGATGGCGATTGATACTTGATAGATACTTTTAATTAATCTCATAACTTTGAAAAGATACAACAATAAAATAATGATATATTCTCAATCAGAAATGAAAAGTGACTTATTGAAACACTTTTCATATCTTAAAGAAATTATATGACTTTAAATAGTTAGATAATATATGTCAATACCAATTTTAAGAATCCTCAAAACATAGCTTAGGCAAAAACTAATTATATAACTATTTTAGGCTTAGTGCTATGTTCCAAACGAGATGTCTGTCATAGCTCATTTGTTTGGTTCTCTTATAATTCTTCGACGACAAGAAGAAAAAAACTGACCCTAGTTTTCTTGTGGTAAGATTTTTAGTCTCACACTCGAATCCAAAACAAGAATTCAATCTCACACTATACTCACAAATACGATAGACTTCTTATCTTTGTAAATATTTTTTTGTTTGTTTCATTGCCGAACGATCTATATGATCAAATCCATAATTATGAATTTTGTTTGTTTCATTGCCGAACGATCTATATGATCAAATCCATAATTATGAATTTTGATTATTTTTATGTTTTATATATAAATAACAAGGATTATAGGAAGAAAAAATATCACAATAATAAAATATAAAATTATATTTAACACAAATAATAATTGATATACTGAACTATAGTTTACTGTAATTGATTTGTATAAAATCTATAAATTATTTTATTGTTTACATATATGTGCAGGACCGTATACTTATCTCGTAACTTAAAAAGCTATGTAAAAGATATAAATGTAAATTACATTGTGGTAGTCTACTAATTTTCACTAAAACAGGTGTCATTCTATTAGTCCAGATTATGAATCAATTTTTTTTTCAGTGTGAAATCGTTAGCTCCATGTATGATCAGACAATGTGGGTGACTTTCATATAGAGCAATCGAGTTTGCCTGTCGTTAGTAGACCGACCCACATAACCATGATTTGGCTTGGACACCTCTTCTATTTAATCACAAAAGAATAATAATACAAATATGTGATAAAAATAAAAAGAATCTCTTACAAGTGGGAAAAGTATACAGCAAGTGTTGCAAATGGCAGTAGTAAAACATGTAACACTCAAACACACACATACACACAGATTAGGTTACGCATAAATGAATACACCAAAAAGAAACTAAGAGAAAGAAGAGGAGCCATAACAAAAAGTCAGAAGTAAAGACCACGGCTAAAACAACATGCTAAAGCTTGTCTTTGTGAATAAAAAAAGCGCAGCAAACCCATAAAAAAGTTCTCTATTCGATGCTTAGCATTTATTAGTGCTACATATTGTTAATCATTTGATCTTTCTTTTTGTAAAATCATTTGATTGTTAATTATTTTAAAAATCATAATTATTCAGAAGTAAAAGCTAAATTTTCTTCCCAAGCCCTTGACGTTGCCATCTCCTTTTTCTCCTCATATCCCAACCATATACAAAATGTATTCATTGGACAAATCTGATTTCTTTTTAGATTCTGCAAATTTTTTTTTTTTTAAAGTTGCGTATGAGAAATTGATTAAAAGAATAGTTTATGTAAGGAGAAAAGAAAGAAGAAACAATAAGGTCACATGAACTGAACCAGATTATTCAAGGGGTCCCTCTAAATTGGTTCTCTCTTGCCCATATCTCCATCATTCACAATCACATTATGTAACACCATAACATTCAAAATTTCTCTCCTTTTCTCTCATTCTTCTTCTAAAATTCATAACAATACTTTTTTTTTTTGGTATTGTTTTCTTCCTCTAAATTTCTAAGAAGCTATAGCTATATTGCATAAAAACAGTGAGACATAGATAAGAGAAAGATAGGTCGTGGTGATGATCAGTTAGGCAAAACCCAACTTTCTATCTATGTATAATTAGGTCAATCACATCACTTGTTTAACCTTTTTGCTCCTCCACTCCTTCAAAAATTAGGGTTTCTTGCTTCTCTCCTCATTTCTCAATTCCCCAAGTCACCCCCATCGGCTTGCTGTAGAAAGGCAAAAACCATACCATTTAATCAAAAGATCTGACCTCTAAAAAGATGATGATGACAGATTTGTCTCTTACAAGAGAAGGAGAAGAGGAAGAGGAAGAACAAGAACAAGAACAACCCAAGAAACCCATGGAAGAAGTAGAGAGAGAGCACATGTTCGACAAAGTGGTGACTCCAAGCGACGTAGGGAAACTAAACAGGCTCGTGATCCCAAAGCAATACGCAGAGAGATACTTCCCTTTAGATTCAACCACAAACGAGAAAGGTTTGCTTCTAAACTTCGAAGATCTCTCAGGAAAGTCATGGAGGTTCCGTTACTCTTACTGGAACAGTAGCCAGAGCTATGTCATGACCAAAGGTTGGAGCCGTTTCGTTAAAGACAAAAAGCTCGACGCCGGAGATATTGTCTCTTTCCAGAGATGTGTCGGAGATTCAGGAAGAGACGGTCGCTTGTTTATCGATTGGAGGAGAAGACCTAGAGTCCCTGAGCATCATCAGACATCGTTTGCTCACTTTGCTGCTGGATCTATGTTTCCTAGGTTTTACAGTTTTCCGACAGCAACTAGTTCAACTTGTTACAATCTCTACAATCATCATCAGCAGCCACGTCATCATCACAGTGGTTACCTTTATCCTCAAATTCCGAGAGAAATTGGATACGGCTACTTGGTAGATCAAAGGGCGGTGGTGGCTGACCCGTTGGTGATAGAATCTGTGCCGGTGATGCTGCACGGAGGAGCTCAAGTTAGCCAGGCGGCTGTTGGAACTGCCGGGAAGAGACTGAGGCTTTTTGGAGTTGATATGGAGGAAGAATCTTCATCTTCTGCTGGGAGCTTGCCACGTGGCAATGCTTCTCCGTCGTCCTCTTTGTTTCAGCTGAGACTTGGAAGCAGCAGTGAAGATGATCACTTCTCTAAGAAAGGAAAGTCTTCAATGCCATTTGATTTGGATCAGTAATGATGATGACATTAGTCGGTATTAAAAAGAAATCAGACTTAAATTTTATATATAGATATATATAAATATATATATATGACAACATATATAATGCATTGATTTCGTTTACATTTATCGAGAAATGATATGTTTGTCCATATGTAAGTTATATGGACTCGATTAGTCTTTTGTTAAGTTGTTCCTCAAAATATTTGATTATGTGCATATACGCAGTACTACATTTACATTCATGATGTAATATTCATTTGGTGTGAAACATAACATAGGTTATGTAACAATATTGCAAATGTAATATTCATTTGGTGTGAAACATAACATAGGTTATGTAATAAGTGAGATGTGTAAGAAGAGACATGAACTAGGATTGGGATCAGTGTAAACCCATATCTCTCTTGTATGTCTCTGTGGTCAGAAAGTTTCAGAGTTTGATGGGTTATTTTAGAAAAGTGAATTCTCTGTTTAGATACGTTGCTGCATTTTGCATGTATATATATGCATCACTAGTTATTGTCCCTGCAATTAATTATGCTTATGGGTTTCTATGTTTGGTTAGTAAATATGGCTGCTGCTGCTTTTCTCTGAACCTATTGCTGGATATTGGTTAGGCAGGTAGACTTGCAGGTCATGGGCATTGACAAAGCAATAATTAAAATGTACTTGTATATATATAATTGTGTGATGTCTGAATTAGCAAAACGAGAAAAGAGAAGAGCTGTTCTTTCTTTCTTTTTCATCTTGGGGCGATTGAAAAAGTATGATCTGTTTTCACTTATCCTTTCTGATGCAGTAATTAAGAGTATATCACAAAAGCTAAAAGCTAGGAAAACTATAAAATTGTTGTCAGGTATTTATTGTATTTTTGGTCTCTCTTTTCGTCTCTTGGTCTGGAAGCTGCAGTGTCTACATCTTGATATCATTGCAGAAACATAAATAATGTAAATGTATGTTATATTTATACTCATACACAAGATGTGATGATGTCTAAATTTATATCTGATCATATAGTCGATTATCACATCTGTATAACCATATACAGCTAGTTTTATATCCTGGCTAATTATGGCATATGGTTCTGTTATAAACGCATACATTCGCTACTCTATATCTCAGACGTTACATTTAGGGTTTATACTAGATTTTGACCCGCGCAACCGCGCAGGTGTTTGTTTTCATTTATAGTTAGTTATATAAACATTTTGTTTTCACTTGTAGATTGGTATATATTATAGTAATCACATATTTACGATATGTATAGTAAATGTTTTTCAAACATAATATTATATAATATGTGTTTTAATCAAATAGATTGTTTCAAATTTTCTATATTACACATGTTTTTCAAACTTTATAAATAGAGCTTGATTAAAAATTAGTATACTTTAATTTGCAAAGATAATATAAATTTCGAAGAATTTTTTGCTAAAAACTAAACTTATAGCTTCATAAATTAATAATATAAAGAATTTTATTAAAAAGGAAATTTTTAAACAATTTTTTTTCAAATACTACAATTTTAAAAATTTACATCGAAATAAATTTATCTAGTATATATAGCATGTAACTTTTGTTAGGGTATATAAATATTCCATATTACAAATCTGTGAATTTTGTTAATATATTGTGGATGCATTTAACTATTATTGACATATTTATTTATGAATAATAGAAGATTCCTAAACTTATATCTATTGACATATTTTGCGTGACAAAATTAAAAAGTTTGAGGTAGTTTACCAAAACCAAATTGTTAAGCGTATCTTTATTATTATAGATATGATCGATTTTTCATAAGATATAATAATAATAAGATTATTAGAGAGTTAATGTAACATGACTTTCTAATAATAGTCCATTTTTTAGAAAATCACACATGAAATCAAGTCATGACTTCTGTTTTAATATATAAGATAGTTTAGCTAAAAAATCACCTTAAAGGTTTGGAAATTACTTGGTGACGTTTCTTTTTTCATATGTCATATATGTACGTCTAAGCCTTTCTATCACTACCATTATCATCAATCACATGTTTTAGTAAGTAAAAATTTAATAATTATCAAAATTTAAATTAAATCTATAAGAGATTGCCAGTCTTTATAGTATATTAAAAACCATTGATTATAAATAAAAAAAACATATGTGCAAAAAAAAATTAAAAATAAATACATCAATGTTAATATTCATTTTAGCGGAGTTGTATATATATATGGTTAATGTATATGTTTATCTCAATTTTATATGATGTGGTCGATTACATAAATCGTTAGAGAATGGTAAAAATATCATCAAATCTCGATTGGTGGATGTGAATGAAGACTATTCAAAACGAGAGAAAAAGTTATATTGAGACGATGTGAAAATTCAAACCCTAGTTGGAGGAGATCAGGCCTTTTCGAACAATTCAGAAAACAACATGCCTTCTTTGATGGAAACATTCAAATGTCTAGGCATTTAAACGAATGGTAATTCTAGCCTGATTTTGACCTCAGGGAGGTCCACATTGACTCGTGTTTATAGATAAACCTCAAATGATCTTATATATTATTAAGAACGTAGAATATAGGAGAAAAGAAAAAAAGATAAAAGCTCAATTGTCTCTTATTTTAAATAAATTAAAATCATAACAAAGAACAAAAATAAAATAATAAAACCAAAGCAACCTAAAAGTCTACAAGAACTCCTCCGCTTTTAATCAATGATCAGTGCTGTTTTATAAAATTGCATCTAAACGTATAATTTGCTTCAAGAGCTGCAATAAAACAAAAAAAAAAACAAATTAAGATCAGAGAACCAAATAGAATTCGAATGGGTTATAAAAAAATCGATATTACTTACTCATGTTCTTGGACCATAGAAGTTGAGTATCAATCAAAGAATGATTCTTATCATCGAGTCGTTTCCACGTTAAAATTTTATCAACGGCTCCCCAACGTCCATTCTTAGTCTTCTCAAGATGAGCTTCAACTACTCTCACTCTCCTTTCCCATCCAGTCCTTCCGTACCCATGATACCTAAAGTGTAGTGTGTCACATTAATTAGTAAAAATAGTGTTTAGAAGAATGTTCATCATCAGAAAGCTTTTGAGTAAAATAAAGTAATTCGTTGGTACGTACCCGGCACCACCAGCGTAACAAAGGCTGATTCCATCTAGTGTCCCACAGAAGTCATTAACGTGGTCGTGGCCGCTGAAAACACCTTTGACCTCACCTCTTTCGACAAGTTTGGTGAATAAACCAGAGTTGACAGGTGGAGAACATGTATCTTCGTGTCTCACTCCAGTCATCACCTTCGAGTCGTTGAACTGTTTGAATTCCGGTACTGGAATGTGATCGTAAACCAACCCCGGTGCCGTACTATTCTGTGGAAATGGCCAGCTCTTGTATTCCAACTGTCACAAAAAAAATTATAAACGTCATTTACAAAATTTATAAATAAAAAAATAGCATTTATTTTTTCTCAAAATAAAATAATCCTACCTCTAGCCATTTAGAAGCGTCTTCATACCAGTTAAGTTGTGAGGTCTTAACCCAATCGTATTTATAAATAAACCCATCGAGTTTGACGTAATCTCCACCATCCACCATATAAAGATTGAGAAGTGATTTAAAGAAGAGAGGGGAGCCAAAAGGACCCTCGACTCGTAGATTGTAGTTACCAAAACCGTCAATGGGGAATACCCCAGGGTTTACTTGAGACAACGTGTAAGGCATTTTCACGATGTATTTCATCAATGTTTCTCTTGTCATGTCTGATTCTTGGTCGTGATTCCCTAGAATAGCCACCCATGGAATCTTCGCTTCGATGGCTGGGGCAAATGCCATTTTCATCGTTTTTGCCGCGTCATTTGTCTCGCACAATCCATTTACGTTATCACCTGCATGCATTAATTAATATCAACCAACAAATGATATGTAACATGTATATGCTCATTAATCATAAGAAAAAAAAAAATTAAACTATGAATGAATAAATTAAAATAACATGGATACATTAGATCATTGAAACAAAAACATATAGTTTCTTTTTGTACCGGAGAAGACGATGAGATCGGGTTTCTCGGAAGCGATGGTCCGTTGAATGAAGGAGGTGGTGTTGAGATCAGAGCAGTAAGGAAATTCTTCTGGTGGTACGTTTGAGCATTTGGTCTCCTTGCCGTTACCGTAGTGCATATCTGACACCTGCAGAATCTTAAACCGGCCATTTGCGTTAAACCGGAGTTGCTTTCTACCGTAGGCGTCTGCCGGTGCAACATAGAGACTTAGGCAGATCAGAGAAACACATAACACATTGAATATGGCTAATGTTTTCTCCATTGCGTGTGTGTTTTGTTTAGTGAATATGATGAACTTGAGAAGTTAATCCTCAACTTCGCTTCTCTTTTTATACAGCATTGAGTTGATTTTCTTTGAAGATTTGGTAAAATATTCCTAAGGTATATTCTCATGTATAAGTTTATCACTATCCAACTGGTATATTCTAATCTATAAGTTTATCACTATCCAACTGATTTTGGCATATGCTTTTACTTAAAATTTTGCTGAAAATCTGTACCGAAACCACTATAATTTCACTAGCGGTTACAAACAGAATCTTAAAGATTGCTTATTTTATTCTTTTTTTTTGAGCAACTGCTTATTTTATTCAAGAGAAAAATATTCGAGCTACAAAGGTAAAAAATGAACTCCATAAATACACTATTTAGACCCATCTCCAACACCCATTTTAATACAAATTTTCATAGGAAAAAACGAAACAACACAACGACACGACAAAAGACAACAAAAAAACAAAACAATACCAATAATACACAATTGAAAGAACAGTAGAGACCCCATTAAAACAAACTAATCATGTCAATAACAATATTCAAGTGCTCTTATCTTTAGTGGCAGTAGCAACTTGAGACTTGAACCATGGAATCCACACAGAAGTTGTCTTCTGATACACTCTATAAGCTTCAGCCCTGTATTCTTGTTTCACCATCCGACGCTCTACAAGGATTGTTACATAGACTAAGCATAGAGTATTGACAAGTGCACCTATCAAAGTCCATCCTTGACCAAGGTTCCAAGCAAACACGACCAAACCCCACCACCACAATTGTTCACCCAAGTAATTAGGATGCCTCGAGTAATACCACAAACCCGTGTCGAGATTAGGGATTTTAGGCTTCCCTTGCTCCTTCAGCTTCTGGTTTCTCGTTACAAACTCGTGGAGCTGCGTGTCGGCGAAGTAGGCCATGACAATACCCGTCAAACAGATACCCGAGGAAACAAAGTCCCAGATGTTTAGTGGCGCATCAACGGAGTGGATGGTGTATAAAGGTAGACATATCCCAATAAGGAAGATCTGACAACAAAATAACCAAATGAGAAACAAAAAAGCAGAACCAAAATAACCAAAGCTCGTTGAGGCAATTCATCGAACAGTTGGTGGAGAAACAGTTTACCTGCTGAGAAACGTAGACAGAGAAGAAAGAGAGCCACCACCAGTGTTTCCCGTACTGTTTCCGTAAGTCGTTAAACCTCCAGTCTTCTCTAGCACCCCACTCCCAATTTTCCCGCCTAAAGTAGTTATGAGTCAAACGAACACTCCAAACCCAAGTCAGGATCACGACAATCATGGATCTCCACTTATTGTACTGTCCCAACGGATGCGACGCGAAGTAATGAACCAACATTACAGGAATCACAGTCCAATACACATCGATCATCTGCCCAACAAAAAAGTTGACATTTTTAGAAAGAGATCAAACAAATTTCAAAACTTTGAGAAATGGGTAATGTTTTGAGGAAAATTGAAGCGTACCCAGTGGCTAGATTGGAGTAAACCGATGACCCAGAAGAGGAAATTGACGTTGAAGAAGAAGAGGAGGTTTGCGAGTAGAAGCGGGTGGTGAGAACACCATGAATGAATGTATGAGAGCTCGGGATCGGAGGTTGAAGAGTAGTTACGGAGAAAGGAAAGGTAGAAGAGGATGGAAGGAAGTGGAGCAAGGAATGCGATGATGGCGTTTCTTAAGTTCCGATTCATTTTTTTCTCTTGTCGATGTTGTTGACGATGAGGAGGAGGAAGAGAGGAGAGTGCCGTTTATATAAATCTGAGTATGTTTGGGCTTTTGGGCTGGGTTCTGTGTGGCGTGTATGGGCCCACTTTGATCGCAGTTATGATTAGAGTCTTCTGTTTATTTCAACTTTTGGCGGAATTTTTTTAAAAATGTAACTAAACTATAGAGAAAGTTTGTAAAAGAGTGATTACAAAATTATTCAAAATCAATTGGAATATGATTTGCCATCGTAATGATGATAGTTTTGAAATTTGTGACTGTTAACTGTATAAAAAATTGAAAGTAATCGTTACTTTGGATCGATTAACCAAAGTTAAAAATGCAAGTTGTCAAGCAGAGATGAAGACAAATAAATGACAAAAATTTCAAAGCGTGGGGGACGGCTAAGAGAGTCATAATCATAGTGAATTCGTGGTGATACAGATAACTTTATACAAGTAAAAAGTGGGAGATAATTAGCGGTGCTTCGTGGTGACTCTAATTATGAGCGTAGCAGAAAGCATAGGATTCTAAACTAATCAATCAGATTCTCAATAATAATAAAATGAACAACTTTCTCTGCGGTCCAAATTTGAGCTTTAGTAGTATAATTTAGTAAACCCCACATCTTTACACCTTGCTTGCACCATGGATGAGTTTGATTGATTATACAGAGCAGCTAATCGTGGAACAAAAGGAAGTTAATAGGGCGGGTAAAGCACCCTAAACGACGTCGTTCTCCCAATTAGACTGGTTTATGAATTTGATTCGGTATAATTGACTAAACCATAAAGATTTGAGTAATAAACCGGAACGCTACCTTGTAAAGGTCAATTGAGTCTTGGGGGAGAAGCATATCGTCGGTGTCTCCGCCGTCTTAAATCGACTTTCTCGTATTCCGAGTCTACGACGAAGCAGAGGAGCAGACATGTCTGGGAGGTTGTTGAAGAAGGTTCTCAAGGAACATGAAGAATCGAAACACCAGAATCATCACGAAGAAGAAGAAGAAGAAGAAGAAGAAGGAGACGAAGAAGAGGATGTTGGTGGCCGTTCTTCAGTTAATCCTTTCGATCTCTTGAACGAAAGTGATGAAGATCCTGACTCCGATAAGGTCCGTATATTAAATATATTAGATTGTTTGGTCGATTATAGTATCTGGAATCGTGCCTATGTATATGATGTTAGAATTGTTATTACATGATGTTAGATCGTAAAGGTTTGGTCTTTATGTCTGGAGCTAATCCACAATGCTTAAAAATATGATCTTTTTTTTTGTAGGAGACAGAGATAGATGATGAGGCTATAGCTGAGGAGAAGAACGAAGATGCTGATAATGTGAAGCTTCCTTCAAAGAACAAGTCCAAGAAGAAGAAGAAGAAGAAAAGCAAAGAGAGTCGTTCTAACGTGGTGGTGAAGCATGAGACCACATTAGATGAAACTCTAGAAGCGCTCTCTCTCGGTGCTAACTCTAAGCAAGAAGAGGTTCAGGAGACGAAACAGTCTTCTTCAAGACCAGTGTTGGAGATAGATCCCAAGTATCTGAATCTCGAAAACGAATTGAGGAGAATGTATGGTTCAAAGGTGGTTAGATCACTTGAGAGCAGCAGCCAAGGTGGTCATGGTGGTGGTGGTTCCTCTAGGCAGGGACGAGGAGGAAGACGTGGAGTCCATCACATCACAAAAACTGTTTTGATTTCTCCTATGGAGAATTGGGCTCGTTGGGATCGTTCTTTCTCTATGGAGTTTCTTGAGATTAAAGATGGTTACAACTACTTCAGATATATCCATTCATCCTCATATGAGCAAGCTCAGAGAGCCTTTCAAGCTGCACAGAATCTTCACGATCTAAACGGTGTAGCAAGCGTCCTTATCAACAACCCTTACCATATCGATTCACTTATAACCATGGCAGACTACTTTAAGTTCGCTGGTGATCATCAAATGGCAGCAGACGCTATTGGAAAATGCTTATACGGTTTGGAGCGTGCGTGGCATCCTATGTTCACTCCCTTCAACGGTAACTGCCGGTTAAAGTTCACTCACGACACAAACAAACCGTTCTTCACTACCCTTTTCGCTCACATGAGGAACATGGACAGGCGTGGCTGTCATAGATCAGCGTTGGAGGTTTGCAAACTGTTGCTTTCGTTGGACACAGATAATCCAGTAGGTGCGTTGTTCTGTGTTGACTATTTTGCTCTGAGAGCTGAGGAGTATGCGTGGTTGGAGCAATTCTCTGAGGAGTATCAAAGCGAGAACTCCTTATGGCTGTTTCCGAATTTCTCTTATTCGCTTGCTATAGCCAGGGTTTACCTTGAGAAGATGGAGTCTAGTGTAGATACTTCAAAGTCAAGCTCTTTAGATCTCATGATGCAAGCTTTGAAACTTCATCCGACAGTGCTCAAGAAGCTAGTGGACAAAGTACCTTTGAAAGATCAGGTGTGGGCAAAGATACTCAAGCACTATTACTTCAGGTCTGATGAGTCAAAGAACCCGTCGTTGGATCACCTTATTAGCATATACGTGGAGAGGAACTACCTTATATGGAGGCTTCCAGATGTACAGAAACTGCTTAGGAGTGCTGCTGAGTTACTCATTAAGTCACTGGATGAAAAGGAAAGCGATGCAGAGGACTTCTTGCGTGTGAAGGAAGAAGCTTTCCCTGCTAAGAATAACGAGTAAGTGTTGTCTCAACTTCTTCTTTTTAAGATTCCTTTTTGGGCTTATAGAGGTGATGATCGTGTATGGTTTTTTCAGGTACTCTCATTTATCAACACATGATTTCTCTGATTCGGTGCCGACTCTCCCACCAGACAATTTACAGAACTTTGTTGCTGATCCGAGAATGGGAGGAGATCAAGTGGCTGCTGCAGGAGGTGGTGGTCAGCGCCAGCAAGCACCACCGGTACGTGATGTGGCGAACAGGAATCCATTGGCTGTGTTTTTAGAGTCAATGCTTCCGTGGGTTAACCTTGGAGATGGAGATGATGAGATTGCACATGATGCTGATCACCAACCAGGCAACAATGGTTAAATTTTACAAAATGTTTTTTTTGCTGATGATGAGAAGAGATACACATGATGTGATCTTGCTTTTGTTGTATCATGTTCTTACTACTCTTATGAGATGTGATACTTATGGATTATGTAGTCATTTTATTTCTATTATTTTCTCGTGGAATCATTGATATAGCTTTTCAGTTTACATTGATCAAAGTTCAAAACCATGAGTTATATGATTCAGTTAGGTCGAGTTGGTTCAGTGTGAGGTTGATATACGGCCACGACTTCGCGCAAATGAGTACATACAATTATCTTTTATAAATTAAGAAAAAAGAGAAATATAAATGACAAAGAAACAAAACACAGTTCGCTTCATTTCTTCTCACCATTGTCTAATAACTTTCGAGCTTTTGAAGCTAGAGACTGAAGGTATCGCCTGAATTTTCTTTCCTTTTTTATATTCCTCGTAATAAGACACGTTACTATTCTGAGAAATGAAGTAAAACTGAATTTTGGAAAAGAATTTTTATTTTTATTTTTAATCTTCTTTAAGCTTATCCATCGCAGAGGTTTTGTGTAGTGATGGAGATTGCATCAGTGACTTTCTCTTGTCCAGCGATTTCAACGCCTCGTGTTTGTAGGATCAAACCTTTTGGCATAAACTTCAATACCGATCATAGAAAGAGATTTTCTTGTCGAGTAAACACGACAGCTAAGGTTTGGTGTGTCTCTTCACATTTTCATTTACTCGTCTGAAACAAATGATTTGAATATGTTTCGATGATAATATCTCAGGTCGTGGACAGTGAACTTGACTTAGAATACAAGAAACACGATCTACTGAGAGCTGTGCAAGAAACTCAACGAGGACTCACTGCCACTTCTGATCAACGCTCTGTCATCGAGGAGGCTCTGGTACAGTGATTATGTGAGATATTGAGTGAATAGGCTGTTGGGTTTGTTCTTATGAGTTTGGATTTGGTAGAAACTTTTCAGGTGACTGTTGAAGGGTTTAATGGTGGTGAAGCCATTGATCTAATGAAGTTAGATGGAACATGGAGGCTACAATATACATCTGCACCTGATGTTGTTGTTCTCTTTGAAGCTGCTTCAAGATTTCCCTTCTTTCAGGTGGTGTTAATGAACAGAGAGCGGATAAAGACATTGTTTCTGTTTTAATTGTTTGTTGTTTTTTGATCAGGTTGGTCAGATCTTTCAGAAGTTTGAGTGCAGAGATCAATCAGACGGTGGGATCATCAGGAATGTTGTTCAGTGGAGTGTACCAAGCTTGTTAGAGGTCTCTGCTTCTTTTCTACTTCTTCTTCACATTTTTTCAGACAGTAACTATAAATGAATTAATCCATGGCAGGAGCAAGAAGGTGCAACACTTGTTGTTACTGCAAAGTTCGATAAGGTCTCTAGTCGAAACATCTACCTTCAGTTTGAAGAGGTTGGTTTGCTGTTTGCTATCAAAGCTTTCTGTATAGAGTCTATCACCATAAGTAATCTAAATTGAACTTTTTGTGCAGATAAGTGTTAGAAACATTAATATCAACGAGCAGGTTCAAGCTCTTCTCGCACCTGCAATTCTTCCACGCTCATTTTTAAACCTTCAGGTTAGAGAATACCTCTTTGCCTAGAAACCAAAGACCTATTCAAAGAGGATAACCAAGCTAATAACTCTTTACCTGTTTTTCTTCTTCCAGATTTTGCAGTTTATACGTACTTTCAATGCTCAGATTCCAGTAACCGCAACTAGTCCAGGAAGGTAGATAAAATAACTTCGTTTGTTTCCATAACTTATTTAAGATATGAGCTATGGATGCTAAAAAGATGTTCCTCTATTGCAGGAGATCTGTAGGTGGATTGTATTACCTCTCTTATCTCGATAATAACATGCTCTTGGGACGATCTGTTGGAGGTGGAGGAGTCTTTGTCTTTACTAAATCTCAACCCCTCGAGCTGTGAGGATTAGAAAAATCTGTAAAACTCATGTTTTAAACTGTATATCACAGAGAGAAGATGAACTTTATTATGTTAGCAGATTCTGTTTATGTATAAACAACCTATTCGGGTTTTACTAAAGATCTTGTACAATAAAGCAAAAATGCTACAGACACGAACTATCAACCAAGCAGACCGTTCCAAATTTCTTTAAGAGAAACATAAGCCTGAGGACAAGGAACAGCTTGTAGCTTAGTCTTGCCATCGATCAGTGTCTCTGTTACTAGACCAAGTCTTACCAACGTGCTAATAGCCTTTTCTACTCGCATCTCAACCTGTAAGTAGTTTAGTGAATCAGTCAGCACCTACAAGGTCTAGTAATGTTTGCAATGAGAGCTCAAGTATTATACATACCTTTATTTTGAAATTGTCGTAGAGAAATCTCTCGCATCTATCTTGAACTCCTTGGTAAGACATGGCATTATGTAGAACCTGATTTTTCCCGGCTTGAAGGATAATTGCATATGTCAATATTGACTCCTTGTACTGCAGATAGCGAGTTCGAAAAAAAAACATAAGTAAAAGATTTTTCATATAGAACCGTTAAGGAGGTCTTGCCTGTTGCTGCTCCGAGGCATCCAAAAGGAAGTGAACAGAGCCAAAGCCACTGGCTAAGGTTTTCTCATAAAGCGTCTTGTTTACTAGCAACTGAGGAAGTAGATCAAATGGGAAGCCAAATATCAAAATCAGAACACTTCTAACCATCAATTAATATATGTGTTTCAAAAAGAACACTTCTAACCAATTGTGGTAAAGGGAGTATGTGTTTGGGTTTTACTAACAACTCACTTGATATCTATCCCATGTCTGCTTGTAACCCAAAACCACACGTGTTGCGTAGATTACCAAAGCAGTGACGGCAATCACATCAAGAAATAGTGCTGATCTACATATTGCAAATAATGTGAAGCAGAAAAAAACAAGTCTTAACTCTATGTTCCCGTAAGGCGTGATACAAAGTGACATAGAGAAGAGTGTATAAGAAGACATACGGGGATGATGAGATGTTCTCAAACTTGTAGTTTACAAAGTATGCCGTAAGTCCCAAAATACTGGCGATATCCAAACGTACCTAACAAAAGATTCGAAGTAATTAGTCAACAGAGATAAGATCAGTAAAACTGAGTGCAATCATGCAACCACACTTACTGTATCTATGATGCGAAAGTAAAGCTTCCTGTGAGGGAAAATTACCTGGATAAAACAGAAAAATTGTAGGTGAAAACTACAGTAGAAAAGCTCATTGACAGAAACCAAACATGAGAAGACACTCATGATGTAGATGTAATATTCTTACAGGTAAATCTGGAATTGGAATTCTTTCAAATATTTCCAGTTGTAATGATGATCGAGTTTCATCTTCATTTTTATCGCCTTTTTCATCCGCATCCATCGTGTAAAGCAAAATTAGTTCCTCAAATGCAGGCTCCTATTCACCAAAGAGCAAAAACAAACAGAGTCATCTAAAAACTGTGATCATGTGGCCATAGCTAAACTAAGCAAATTACATTATTATTTGCATATAAAAGGAATACCTGCAGCGTTGATGGTGATAAAAGAATGGAAATAGAAGTTTTTATCCTTTTCCACATATCATTTCCGCAAGCTTTCTTTGAAGCAGGTTTCCAGATATCACCCAGAGTCATCCTTGACAATGAAATTGGCCTGAGTGGAGACAGTAATACAAATCAGGTTGAAGGTTTAGAAAACATGATGTAAGGGATTTTGTATTTTATTTTAAAGTTCAACGTGATAATATATACACATGGAATGAACTTTCACACTTGTTTATACTAACTGAACCTATGCAGGTTCACTCCAGCAATCAAATGCCAAGCCTAGTCTTGAAAAACATATATGATATTGGCACATTGATTCTTTCAGGTTCAGCAACCAAAGATCATAACATGATTTAGTGAGAAAGATGACTGGGAATAAAAGAAGGCACACACCTTAGATAAGGTTCGGATGCATTACTATCGTTAGCCAGCTGAAATGGTGTCTCATAAGCGGGAGAAATGAGACCAATCCAGGTGAGCAACTTTCTGAAGAGCTTTTCACGAGGACCAACAGGTGTGAGAAGCCCCTCATACCGACTGACTGCTCTTTGTGCTGCTAACCGAATCGGGAGGACTGAATCTGAGAGGAACTCACCTTCCAAGAATTTATCAGATGTTTGGGCTAGGTCTAGATATGATTCCTTGAAAAGAGACAACTCCTTGAGCCAAACTTTCACACTCTCTGACAAGTCTTGAATTTCTTGAGTTTGGGAAGCCTCACTTAATGCCTGCTCACGAAATTTATTGAAAAAAAAGATGTTATTGAAGTTTATCAACTAACAAAATACATAGTTTTGCCCATGATCAAAATAACATAGTATTTGCCTCACTTAACAGGCGTCAGACCTTGTTTATCAGTTTTCCAACTTTCCTCAGGGGTTTTGAAATAGTAGAGAAGATTCCTCGTAAAACTACAGACTGGATATAGTCCAGCTTCTCCACAAGTAACAAACCCTTCTGCTTCTCAGTTGCATATCCACGCCTGTTAAGAAGATAAATTCAAAAGCAGATTCTCCATTAGATGAGCACAAGAGCTTAAGGTTTGCACATCGAACATGACTCAACAGCAACCAGAAAAGATTGATGAACCACAAAACCTAACACAAAATGAAGGTCTACGAAGTTACTAAACCTTCCTAAATTGACTCAAGAGGTAATAGAAGTGTTTACAGTATCCAAAGCTGCAACATACATAACTAGATAGCACATTGTACAAACGCATCAATAAATACAACATTAACCTGAAAACAATAGCATTGGACTCTGATGTCTTGTTCCAATCAACATAAACAGGCAAAGTAAGAAGGTAATCGGTGTTGAGAGCAGACGTCAAAGCCAAATCCCTAGCTGAAAGCTCTTCAAAACCAGCATTGTCTAGAAGCTGAATAAAGGAACGCTGGAACCGAGTCGCAGCACTAACACTACAATTCAAAAAAAATATCACAAATCTATACTCAAACTTCCATGTCATAATTCGATCCTCCTCAATATCTCCCAATTTAATTCTAATTACCTTTCAGCAGAACGTCTCTTCGCTTGTTTGCCAGTAGAGATCAAAAAGTTCCAAATATCAAAACCATCAGCCAAAGGGAATGATAAACCCTCGTATGATCCATTAACAACACTCTCAGCTTCCTCATCTGACTCAATCTCTCTACCTGAAGTAGAGCTTTCTTCAATGTTTACCTTCTCGAGAGATTGAGTGGCAACGAAATCGGTTCTCATTTGCTCTAAGACCTTCTTGTGCTCCGCGTGAAGGATAGAGTCCAAGCAGCTACAGAGAGAGAGATTCAAATTAGTCATCACGATGCAATTGGCGTTTAACTATATAAAGTCAGGCTTACGTGGCAAGGAGGAGAAAGATATCAGAGTCTCCATCTTGGGAATCAAGTAATGTTGTTACTATGGCGTTGACGAGATCAGACTTGGAGATATTTATGTACTTCTCGCGAGGAACATGTACACTTGAAATCCTCTCTTCTTCTTCTTCTTCCTCTTCTCCTTCGCCGCCATCTTCCGCCGTGGGAAGCTGCTCCGGTTCCACCTTCCAACCACCGCCGTTTTGAAACTCAGTCAAGCTAGAAATAGCTCGTTCTGACTCTCCGGAGACTACATCAAGTGGCGCAAAAGCTGATGCCTCGGTGAGACGGCAACGAACTGAGCGACGACGCGAATACGGAGAGGGCTTAGATCGCGATGGAAGAGCAACGAAGCTGGTGAGGCTTCGAAGAGACAACATAGTGAATTGTTTGGTGAGACGAAAGATTCAGAGTTGGTGACCATTGAATAAAGGAAGAAAAGAGTTTTTGATTTCCTCCGCCCAACCCAAACAGTCAAATTACGAATAAAGACGAAATCGTAAATTAACGGCTCACAACCACTCACACGCGTCTGACTCTATAACCGATCATTTGACCATCTTTGAGTGAGAAACCTTCTTTCCCTCGTAGAGACTCTAAAATTAAATGAAGAAAGGAAACCCTCTCCCTCTTTCAGAGACTCTAAATAAGGAAAGGCAACTCTCTTCTCTCTCAGAGACTCCAACAATAGTAAATAAGTAAGCTTAATCTTCTTTCTCCTCATATGATGTTGTTAGGCCTCTCCTAAATTTTAGAAATTAGGCCTCCTAATTTTTTTTTTTGCATTTTGCACCCGCAACCACTATGTTTAA